CGTTGTTCGACTTTCTCTTTCTATGTGAGCTAACTAGAAAATATATAAAAACAAACGATATTTCATGTATGTAAACCAACTTACATTCGTATGGCTTTTATATGCCGCTTCCAAATTTCTTATCCAAATTATGTTTTATATACATAATAAGTAACTGCGCTGACTGCTGGAAAGCAGAGCGCACTTTAGCGGAGCTGTACTTTCGATGCGTTAAGCGACGAAACGCAGCGTGTAATGGCATGTGAATCACGTATATGCTGCGCCAACAGCGTCGAACAACGAACGTAGGCTTCTTTCGTTTCGTTCCGCATGCACGTACACTGCGTGCGTACGTGCGCCTTTTAATTGACGCTCGGTACCAAGCAAGTTTCCCTCTTGTCCGCTTATCAACGACTGCGATCTGGCAGTTGTTGCCAAAATGCATACCTGAAACTTGATTTGTAACACAATCCAGGATGAAAATCTGGTAATTAGGCTCTTCGCAGACGAAGGGTGCATAAATTAGAAACTCTGGGAATTTGGTTTAATTTTGCCTTCCGTTTTATAATACTTACGCGTTACAAGGAGTTATGCATCAGCAGTAGATAAAAATAGACCAGCACATGTACAGCTCCGTCAAGGAATGAATGAAATGCTATCGTACGCGCGATCGAGGACATCCGAAAAGTATTTTAGAAGTTCACGTAAGAAGGGGACGTTTATAGCCAATAAAAGTGGTGTATTCCACGCGGCCGTACGTACATACAAGGCTAATTTTACTCGGCGAGGAAACTGGTTTCAGCTACCTCGCGCCTCGCGTCCATGCGTTTGTCGCACGGTGATCGAATCACGAATTATATGCTTGTAACTTTCATTCAAACGCTCCTCGTATCGTAGGAAGAAATGAAATTAACGTTTCATCTGATAACATCCGACTTTCGAGCAGCAGAAAGCGTGGTTTCTAATTCAATTTAAAATTCACACGATACAACGGTCCACGAGGCACCGCAATTGACGATGACGTAATTGACGGTCAAGAGACTGACTGATCCACTTACTCAAACGCTAAGTACAAACGCTATCACGGTCTTCGTTTTCTTTCGATGCTCGCAATCAATGTTGACCATCGCGGCATCATTCGTATTATTAGTTACGAGAAGCAAATATCGATTAATTAATATATTCTTCACAAGATCTCTATTCTTGTTTGAATTGCAAAAGTTTATGTAATTATCACGTTGTCTCACAAACCAAATGTTGGATGAAATACAGACATTTTTTACGTTTGCGTAATAACCAATAACTCCGTTTTTTTACACGTCGTAAACATATACCTTTTACATAACGCGAAGCGTGAAAAGGTTTTTGTTCATCACGGGAGATGCTCAAATCTTGTAAGAGGGGAATGGTAACCTTGGGACCCAACACGTTTTGGCAAGATTAATGGCGGTAACTACATGCGGATACAGAAAAATAGGACAGGACGCGACCGCTCCTACGCGGTCATCCGCATTAAGAACGTCAGTTTCCTCCAGAAGCAACTTTAGTCTCACTCGTGCCAGCAGGTTGATTGTAACTTTTCTGCCTCGATAGCATCAGCGCTGGATAATATTTGATGAAATAAATATATTTCAAATACTACTTAATGTCCGGTATTCAGAGTCGTTGCTGATTTTTAAGATCGTGTTAAGCATTTGCTATCTCTGTCTATCCCATGTTTCCAGTCCCTGTCTTGTACAGGAAACAGGGACTTAAGTAAATCCTTAAGACGATCTTAACAATAAGCAACAACTCTGAATATCGTCTTATATCTCAGGTTTTGCTTGATTTAATAAAACAGTACTCGAAATATTTTCGGCAAATAAAATATTTTTATTTTAACCACATGACCTACAAAATAAAATTAGAAAGTTAGAAGTCTGAGGATAGTAAAATATTTTATTTCAATAAATAGTTAGAAGTCTGAGGATAAAATATTTTATTTTAATAATCTGACATAAAATCAAATACTTGGTAGTTATTTACTTTAGCGATTCCTCATGCATTTCAATGAGCTTAAAATACATACATATACATATATGTATATGTACATATTATGAAGTTTATCATTCCGATCAACTTTTCTCTACACATGGTACGGTCGCTCGATTTTAGTTTCCGAGATATTCGCACAGACCTTTTGAAAACTTTTCGCTTTAATTTTAAGTTTGGGTAAGGCTTAGTAATAAAAAATATAACTCCACTTTTTATTGGACATTACTTTTGAACCTACAAAAAAGGGTGGGTTTACGAACTTTGACGTAGGATCTACCCTAGGGAAGTAATTATATTTATACTTTAAAATAAATACGGTTGTTGTACGTAGTATTTACAATGGTATTTTACCCAGCATAATTAGGAAAATCGTGTTATCAAATGATCAAAACTCATTTCCATATTCATAGTGTACTTTACATTAAAACCGACAGATTACGAGGAAGTAATTCTATTTTTACTTGTGTCAGCAGCTTGACTATGATTATTTTGTCTATTCAGGACAGACTCGCCTCTTTGTGCTATAATTAGAAAAATGATACTTAAATAAATATTTTATGTTGAAATACCATGTACTAGAAAAATTGTATTATTGTGCCATCAATTATTTAAAACTTATTCCCTTCTTTTCAGACGAACAAGAACGCGTACAAAAGAAGACCTTCGTTAACTGGATCAATTCCTACCTCTCCAAGGTAAATTGGTACCCTCTTTATCCAAAGATTTTTTAATATACATTTAGAAAGTATATTTTTTCACACGTAAGGTAAATGTTATAGGTATACTAATTCTGTATTAATTCATTCATCAAAAAATACTGGGTTACTGACCAAATGTTCGTAAATTGTTCAGCAGATCTGAAATTCATGTTTCACGTGTTTAAATGTACGAAGTTTAAAATGAATCAGGATGACATAGTGGCACAGAGTATACAGTTTCATGTTTCTTCTTACTTTTTTTTCTCGTCATCCTTTCTACGTAATAAGGTATCGTCGAAATTACTCCTCATCACGAATATCAGAAGTTTCGGTGGAATAACTCGTGCCTGGCTCGCGAGTCTCGATATACTACGATTCCCCTACTTCCGTACTTCCGGATACTTGGAAACTTGAATTAGAAATCCCTTGGGCCGCCTCATCGCGACATGCATGCTCCGAAAGCGGCACGACAATTTAAAATTACATTTCTCTCCTGTCTTTCCTCCGTCATGAAGTTTCACGAAAATTCACGTCGAACTCCGCCAATCTTTTCAGTCTTAATCGGTAAATAAACGCCAGGACGGTTTTAAAAATTACGTCAACGGCCGGCTCACTCGAGATCGTACAATCCTGATACAACTCTGTACGAACTGGCAGGATGACTTCATATTTTCTTTAGCTATCTTTTTCAATCGCTTGTCTGAATCCTCTTGTTTCATAAATTATGCAATCATTTTTTTCTGTCTTTGTTACAATCAAATTGATTATTTCGTTCTACTTTTATAGGTACAGATTCCACAATATGCAATCGACTTTCTCATTACATTTATAAAAAAGATAACAAATACTATACTTATTATACAACTGAGTATCAATGATCGACTTTTCAGAGAAGTCCACCGCTTCGAGTGGATGATTTGATCGAAGACCTTAAAGATGGTACCCGCTTACTCGCATTACTCGAAGTTCTGTCTGGCGAGAAGCTGGTAAGTTCGTCTTAAGTGCCACCGTACTTATAACATGATCAATAAGACCAGGCTCGAAAACGTGTTTCTCTGTTTACAGCCGTTCGAAAGAGGTCGTAACTTGAAGAGACCGCATTTTCTTAGCAATGCCAACACCGCGCTGCAGTTCTTGCAGAGCAAAAAAGTAAGCGACGGTCTATTCAAAATTCAAATTTAAACGTTTAAACGTCGAATATATTTAAGTAAAAAAGTCTAAAATAAAAAATAACAAATAAAAAGCACGGAATGTAAAATGAAATCCCAATACATAAATAAATTCAAATGTCAGTATATAGAATTGTTCGATTTCATCTGATACTTATAGAGGGAACTTTCTTTTTAGATTAAATTGGTGAACATAAACTCATCCGACTTGGTGGACGGACGACCGCCAGTAGTGTTGGGTCTAATATGGACCAGTGAAATATAATTTTATAAATGTTTAATAATTTTGCTTATCAAGTCGGTTATACTTTTGATTTCATATTTTATAAATTTTATAAGGTTTTATTAATTTATTGTCGTATCATTATATAATATTGCTTTATTTCTCTTTTTTATTTATGAACTCCACAAATAATATGACTTTACTCTTTATTCTGCGCTTACTGTAACATAGAGACTTACTCGATGATACTAATGAATGTCATTATTATATATAAATTAATGCCCGTAAAGAGAGAAGTAACGAATTACATTGCATTCTGCTAACCGTATTTATTCCACAAAAACAAGCTACGATCGAAGGATCGAAGGAAGGTGAGTAGCTACTTAAAAAAGAATGGAATGAATCAAAAACAGAATGAAAAGATTGTCGTCTATCCTGGTACGATGTCTATAAAAATCGTAAAGCCAATAGAGAGAATCTGTGTGTACAAAGAGGAGAGTGTCAAATTAGCACGCACCTATCTGATTTTACGCATCACCCTAGTACGCACGCTAGTCCTTCCTTCTGTTATATACCTGTCCCGTCGTTATCGAATCCCGTGTCCTGCGGTCCACTGATGACCCGTTTTTCTAGATCGAGGAGAACACCAGAGCTTTGGAATATCTTGGCCACACATGGGGCAGCCAGAGCAGTCTAGAGAGCCTTAGCACACAGGGGTCAGCGACCAGCGAGAGAAAGCGTATCAGCAGCGAGAAGTGGAAACAGGGCGCGAGAAAGACTCTGTTGCAATGGGTCACCAATGCACTGCCAAAGTCAGTATTCCAAAAACGTTTATTTTATTAAACCGCATAAAATTATGATTGATCATTTCGACTGGAAAACCTAAACTCCAGAAAGAAAATGACACATCGTACATACTATTATGTGTGTACAGGATAGAATGGTAGATATTTAATGTGATATTGATTCACAAAATATCAAATTCATTGCTTTTGTGTAGGGATATAAAAGTCCGCGACTTTGGCGAAAGCTGGCGCGATGGCAACGCGTTCCTGGCCATTATCGACGCGATCAAAGCGAATCTGGTGAATATCGCGGCGATGCGAGAGGCAACGAACAGAGCTCGCCTGGCGACGGCATTTAACGTTGCCGAATCGGAGCTGGGTATCGCCAGACTTCTTGATCCCGAAGACGTCGACGTTCCCCAACCCGACGAGAAATCGATCATGACTTACGTTGCCCAGTTCTTACACAAATATCCAGACCCAGGGTCCGCTGCTTGCGACTCGTTCGCTGCCGTTCAGCAAGAGTACGATGGACTACTCGCTTGGCTTTACGAGAGGCTTAAGTTCTTGGAACAAATGTCGATCTCCCCGTTAGGCTTCGACGTACGTTTCGATACCATTCGTGTTGCTTCAGTCATGGTGAACGATTTTCATTCTGCTTATTTGTTTGAACTTTGCGTTCGCAGGAATACCTCGCACTGAAAACTGAAGTTGAACAACAGAGAGTCGTGTATAATAAACTGCAACGTCTTGTCGAAACACCTAGTATGATAAGCATTACTCGGGACTCTTGGAGGCACGTGCAGAATTTATGGAAGTCCATGGAAATGCTAGTAAGCTTTTCATTTATCATTATTATTTTATTAAATATTAATTTCTTTAAAATATAATTTCTTGAAATTTGTTAGATGTTGCGCTGGCTCTGGCTTCTGGACTCCTACCTTCCAGGTGAATTAGGCGTGGTAGGCAGATGGCTGTGTCGCGCTGAAGACCTGTTACTATCTGATAACGACATACCCGAAGAGATGACAGAAGAGACCGCGAATATAATATCGAACAAATTGGAGGAGCACAAGAAGTTCTTCCTCGATCTTCCCTCGATAACGGAACGGTTCCAGGCAGCCAGGATCTCCGAAGCCGCGTTGAACGTACATCCGCAACAGCTGAATGAGATGGCTGCCAGGTTGGACAGTCTACCGGACCGTGCCGCCAAACGTAGAATCCGACTAAAGTTCCTGGAACACAAATGCTGCCTTATCGCCTTCCTGTTCCTAGTCGAGACTAAATTAAAGGGTTGGAGCGTGAAGTACGGCACTGAAGAGAGCGTTCACCAAATGCTGGAGCAATACAGAAATTTCGTGTCCAGAAACAGGATCTTCCAAGAGTTTCAAAAAGCGTACCTAGACATGCAACAGGTAGTCGACGACTACAAACGCGAGGGTAACACTGGTAAGTTTATTATTGGATTTGTGACTCATAAAAAGTTCAATTTATTCAGAATAATTTGTGAAGTTATGCGAATTCCATAACTATATCGTATAAAAAAAAATTGCATAGCTCAGAGTTTAATCATTAATTTCTCAAAAATTTTATTAACCCCTTCATTACGTGTTATAAATTATTCGTATCATAAAATCGTTGTGCTGTGTGTTTCAGACAGGGAAGAAAACGCAAGCATCGATCGTTTCATGAGAGAGACCAGCGAGAAATGGAAAAGCGTATCGATGGATCTCCGTTGCGTGCAAAGTATGCTCGAGGAGGTCGTGGCGTATTGGCGTCGGTGGAACATCATCTCCGACGAGTTCACCGCCTGGTTGAACCGCGCCGAGCCAGCGTTGCGTCTGCCCGAAGAAGAGAAAATGGAGTTCTTCCAGGACATAAGCGTGTGGAAGGATAAACACCAACAACTATCTGACACTGTGACCTTTTTAATCGCCACTTCGGACGAACCGGTTGCTCTGCACCTGAAACAGCGTTACGCGAGTCTAACATCCAGATGGGAGGCCCTATTCCAGGAAGCTAAGCAATACATGCATGCTGGAGACGTGATACGAAACAGGAAGGACTACAGACAAGGCGTGGAAACCCTGCAAAAATGGCTAAGGAATGTAGAATCAACTCTGACCGCTACTGATTTAACTACAACCGAGAAGATCAAGGCGTACGGCGAGAGGCTGCAAGCTTTTCATACCGAAGTAGAAGGTATCGAGGACCTCTTCAAGAATATCAGTAAGAAATTCCAAACGCTGATCCAGGACCTGTCTCGCGACGAGGTGGACAAGATGATGAACACTTTAAAGAAGGAAAAGGAAGCTCTGGTCAAAGTGCGAGCTCTGATACCGATGCAACTTCATCTGTACCATCAACTTCTCGTTCAACAGGAATCTTTGGAGGCTGGACAGAAGGAGATAGCTGCTTGGTTGGACGAGGCAGAAAAAATGCTGACGGGCATCGATCTGTCTGGTGGTAGAGAGCACATTCTTACTCAGCTCGAACGTCACAAAGCGTTCTTTTCGAGGACTCTTTATTACAAATCCATGCTAGAGTCGAAGAATAAAGTGTTCACGAGTATAGTGAAGTCCGTGGACAGCCACGCGGATGTGAACACCGCCGAAGGTGGTAAAACGTTGAGAGAATTGAACGACAGATTCAAAAGAGTGTCTCAAGCGGCTCAGATCCAAGAGCAACGACTTCAGGAAGCAGTCAGGTGTTGGACCAAGTTCAAGGATAGCGAGAGACAGGTCTGTGAGTGGCTATCAGTCGCTGAGACGATGATGAACGATAAACACACCGACAATCGACGATCAATAGAGTATCACAAGAATTTCTTTAGCAACGTAAACGAGAAATGGATTCAGGAGTTCGTTACTGCCGGACAGGACCTGAAAAGCATTTTGCCAATTGAGAAACAAGCACCCGTTCAAGAAGCTATAGAATCACTGCAGAGGCGTTGGAAGGAAGTGTTGACCTTCGCGCCTCTTCATCTGATGAGGCTCGAATTCCGTCTGGACGAGATCACGTTCCTGCAGTACTTAAAAGAGATCGAGGTCGAAGTTAACTCGGAACAACAAGCGTTGATGAAGAATGACAACGTGGAAAGCATTTTGCAGAAGAACAAGGAGTTCTTCGTGAATCGTGGTACGGTGCTCAACGTGGAAAAGTGTCTGCAGAGTCTGAAAAAAGTCAGCTACGCATATACTCAATTGAAGCCGAGTGACAATAGCTTGGCCGAAGCTGCGCAAAACGCTGAACGCCTCTGGGAGGATTCCGCTCAGAAGGTAGAGCGCTTAAGGGAACAATTGAAACAAGTGCCTGAGCAGTGGGCTGCTTATAAGAAGAAGTGAGTATCAAAAATTCCGAGATTCAAATTACTTCAGAATTATTTTAATAATACTACATACATATCTTATTAAGTTGGATTGACTTTTAATTCTTATCTTGAATTCAGATTCGATGAGATGGTACGATGGATGGACCACGTGGACAGTAATTTGAGAACTATATTACACGAAGTGAACACTTTCGAAGAATTCGAAAAAGAGAAAACGATATTCCAGGTAAATAATGAACAACAGTTTAACTATTTTCCTATCATCGTTTCATATAAATATTCTTATTTTTACTTCACATTGCTTTCATTGGATGTAGATTCAAACGTTAACGGTAAATATAGTAAAGAAACTGCAATAAAAAATTCACGATCTTGAAAATGTTGATTGCAAGAGCATTGCAAAAGCAAAACTATTTCATTTTTTTCTTTTCAGAAAATATGCAAAGAAGCAGATAGCAAACGGGAAGAGATGAAATGGTTGGTCCAAACCCTGGACAGCCTGACTTCCAATCGTTCAGACCACGAAGCACTGTCAGAACAGAATCGTTTAGAGCAACTTATCACTCGCTACAAGAATTTGATACCCACGATAGAGATTACAATGACGAAGACCGATATCTACTCGAAGAGCTACACTTATAGGAAAGAAGTTCGCGAGGTGTGTACCCTTTTACGCAAGGTTCGCGACCTGTCGAAGATCGACATAGTGTCCGAAAGCCCGGAGACACTTCAGACCGCGGTGAGCAGTCAGGAGAATCGCCTGAGTCAATTGGAGCAACAGAGATCGAACATCGTCAGCATGTTGCAACGCGGTAAGGATCTTCTTAAGGATCAGCACGCACCTCCGTTCGTGTCGTTAGAAGTTCAGCAACTGGAGTCCAACTGGAATGATACGTACGGGCAGAGCGTAGAGACGTTGAAGTCTTTGAAGAGTTCTCAGAAGTTGTGGAACACTTACACGGAGCAAAAGGAAGAAATCTTGAAGTTGATCGAACAAGCCGACGAAGAACTGAGGAAAATCGAATCGACTACCTACTACGACGCTTCTCAAGTATCGTCCGAGCTTCAGAGTAAGCAGGACTTCAGTTCTTCTCTGAGAAAATCTGCGGAGGAGTTGATGAAGAAACTGCAAGAGACATACAGTTATTTGAGAGAAATCGCTCCGCCGGAAAGGAAAGAAGTATTACGGAAGGAAATCGTGCAAACTGAAAGGAGAGTAGAGACCACTTTGAAAACCGTACAAGAGAAGGTTGTCCATCTGCAAGAATACAGCACCAGGTGGAACAAGTTCCAGACAAAATTAAACGAATTACAACTGTGGACGCATCAGAGTGCCCCGCAATCGATTGCCGATACTGAGAATCTGACGACTACTCCCGAAGAGATGGTTTACAGGACGGAGAACTTGCAGAAGGAGTTCCAGGAAAAGATCAAGACACTTAAATTCCTTGAAGAAGAGTCCCAAAAACTCGTGAAAGGTCAGTGCAACCTCATTAAAATAATTCATTAACCATTTTACCTATTTCAATTATCATATCAGTCAATAATTATAGTGCAATCTCCTTATTATACGTCTTATGAGATATAAATTGTTTCCAATATTTGTTTAATTGATTCATAATGAAATAATATGATGAATGATTTTAAATTGAGAAATAAAAATTAAAAATACGAAACCTAATGTTTTGCAATTATTTTAATTTACAGCTGCTGACACTCTCCCGGCCAAACAGCTGCGCGGTGACATCACGAATCTCGAGAAGAGCATCGAGACCCTGCAGAAGAGTATCGTCGTTCAACGTCAGACGGCCACTCAGAACTTACAAGCTTGGAAAGAGTACGAGAAAGGAATCCAAGCGTTGAAACCTTGGATCGAGGAAGCAGAATCGAAGGCAGCTACCATAGGCAGCAAACCTACCACTTTGCGACAAGCGGGTCAAATGCTGGAGACCGCCAAGGCCTTCGAAGTACGATGCCAACAATACTTCCCTCAAGTTCAAGATTTGTCTTTGATCAGTCAACGAATATCCGGAAAGACATCAGCCTCGGACGAAGTGGACGCCGTTCACACTCGCTGGAACGCTGTGCATGATACAGCCGTGCAGACGACGACGAAATTAGACAAATTAGTTACTTCATGGACCAGCTTCGAGTCCGAGATCAAAGACTTCAACGAATGGCTCGAGAAATCGGAGAGAATGGTGCTCGTAGAACCGAATACTCAAACGCCTGAGGTATCTGTATTGGAAAAAGAACTGGCGAGACTGAAGGACTTCAACAAGACCATATCCGATCATCAGGCACAATTGATATCGCTGACGCAGGTGTCTGATCACATCAGCCACGGACTGTCATTGGAAGGAGCGTCGAACTTGAAGGCTCGCGTGTCCGACATCAAATCCAGAGTCAGCAAACTCGCCGATACAGTTAGACTGCAGATCAACAAGGTGTCTGACTCGCTGCTGGCCCGACAAGAGTTTCAGATGAAGATCACCGATTTCGAGAACTGGATGTCAAGATTGAGATCAAACATCGCCGAGATCAGCGACGCCACTGTCGACAGCGTGGACACAAATCTTCAAGCTGTGCACGCGTACATCCAAGAACATTCTGAGAAGCAGCCAAGTTTTGCTGCCATTTACGACGAAGTTAAACAATTGTCGGTCAAGGGGTCAGTCATGGAGGCAGCTGCCCTCGATGAGACGTACACTAACTTGGCGAAGAAATATAAAGCCCTGGAGGACGATTTACAGCAGAAGAAAAAAGGATTAGAGAAGTGGATAGAGTTGTTGAGTTGGTTGAATGACGCCAACGCTCAGTTGAGCCACTGCAAGTACGAGGCCGAGGCCAGGAAACCAACCATTACCGATTTAGACAGATTTTCCTCGGAGTTACAAACTGTATATGACAAAATTGATAACTGGAAGCAACATTTATTACCTGACAGTGCAATCGGAATTCAAATCAGAGACAAACAAGGGAAACCTCTGACTGCTTCGGGTCTGTTGATCGATTTAGAGAACAAGGCTATGGCTTTGAAGAACGAGATATCCGCAAAACGGGATAAACTCGAAAGTCTTGGCGCCAGGTGGAATAACTTCCGAACGCTTCAAGAAACTATTACTGAAAAGATACTAAACACGCAAACGGCTCTCCAGGAAACGGCTTACAACGTTAATTCCTGTAAACATCTGGCTCCGGCTGTTGAGAAGATCGATCGCTTAATCGAGGAGCATCAGAAGAGGGAACAGGAGAAGGAGACTCTTCATTTCGAAGGAAGTATTTTGATGAAAGAAGACCAGAGGTCAACGACTAACATTCAGGTTGTCCTGTCTTCCGTTGACGCCAACTGGGAAAAGGTCAATGAGCTCCTCCGCGAACAGAGAAAGAAATATGCTGATATGAACACTGATTGGGTAGTCTACGAGGAAAGTAGACAGAAATTGAAGAAATCCATCGATGAAGCTAACAATATGTGCCAGTCGGTGAGAGGAGTGCCTTACGATATTACCCAAGCGAACATTACTTTAGACAAGCACAAGAAAGCTTTGGACATCTTGAAGAAGAGCAAGCAGTTCTTAGACAAAATGGATTCTAAGGCGCAGCAGCTTACAAAGGAAGCTTCGTTGATGCCCAGATTCAATTCTGAATTGATTGAGAACGACTTAACCGAAGCTCGCCAACAATACCAAGACTCGTATAACGATATCAGTGAAAAACTGCAAGTCTACGAGACTCAAGTGATCGTTTGGAAACAGATTGAAGAATCAAAGACTGAACTGATCAAATGGTTGACTAACACCAACGAAGCTTTGACCACCGCATTCGAGCGTTTAATGGATGCCGAAAATTGTCAAGCGAGGTTGATAAGATACAGGGAAGAATTACCTGGTTATCAGCAACTCTACCAGAACATCGTTACCAAAATAGAGCAGTTGGTGAAACTAAATAACGGAAGCGATATCACTACTTTGAGTTCTCTGCACAAATTGTTAGACGAACAATTCAACCTTGTTAAGAGCTCTGCTGATAAATTGGAGTCCTTAACGTCTGCGCTGAATGAGAGGGAAAGGACGATTAGACATGAGATGAAGAGATGCGGCGATCTGATTTCAAAGATCCGAGAGGATATCATCAAGTGCGACGATTTAACCGGCGAGAATATCAAGATTCTTGCTCGAATCAACAAGTGCCAAGAATTAAAGACAGAACTAGAAAAGTGTGATTACGCTCTGTCGAAAGTTGAAGAAACCCTAACGAAAATTTCTACGGAGTATCCCAGCATTTCCAGATCGAGTTTACCCAAAGAATTGCAAGCTCTTCAGCTGCGACGAGACGGTGTTGCCAGTCACGCTAACAAGGTGATAGCGACGCTGGTAGCATTTTTGACCAAACTCTATCATGAGAAGTTCGGTGCTCTCCAACGCATGGTCGTGACTCTGAAGGAGAAAGTCGCGTGGTGCGAGCCCGAGCAGAGCAGTGATCGTTACAACCTGGAAGTGAAAATGGCATCGTTGATGGACGTGGAGGCCGGTATAGCCGATTGCACTGCAAGAAAAGAAGACACTGACAATTCTTTGAAACTTTTGGCGTCCGTCGAAAGCGCCGAGGCTATGGCTGTTCTAAAAGCGGACCGCGACAGAGTCGAGGTCGATTTGGAGTCACTAAAAAACAGTTACAAGAAGATTAAAAACGATCTGGAACGGAACATCGCGTTGTGGCAATGTTACGAGCAAACTTCGGATAACGTTCTATCTTGGTTGAAGGAGAACGAGAATAAGATCAGAGCCGAAGCGTCTGCTTTGCTGAACCTAGACGACATTGAACAAAAAATCGCTGAGATGAGTCAGATGCAGAAGACGGTGGCGGAATATGAAAGTGAATTGAAGGAATTGACGAGCCTCGCTGAGGACATTACTAGAGTCAGTTCCGAGTCTCGAGTAAATCAGTACATCAACCACTTGAATACGCGTTACGACTACGTGCTGAAATTCCTGGCTCAACATTTGGATCGACTCCGCGAGTTGAAGGAAAACAGGGATCAGTACACGGCGAACAAGAAGAAACTCGAGGCTTGGCTGGAGAACGCCGAGAGGACGTTAAAAGCTTTTGACGAGATCACCGGACCGAAACCAATAACGTTCTATCAGTCGCGTCTGAAGGAGTTAAAAGCGTTCGCTGAAGAACGAGAGGTCGGGCAAGCTATATTGAACAAGACCGCCGAAGCTGGCGAGACTCTGTTCGCCAGAATCACGCCGGATCAGAGGGAGACAATCAGAACCGAAATAAGGAACTTCCGTAATCGCGTCGACGCCATGGCGGATCGCGCCAATGTGATCTACAAGAAAATAGAGAGCGATATGATGCACAGATCTTCCTTCGAAGACAAGTTCTCGCAAGTGAAACAGTGGTTGGCGGACGCACAGAACAAATTGGGCGACAGGCAAGAGCTGTTGCCGACGTTACAGGAGAAGAAATTGACGCTCCATTTGTACAGAGCCGTGGCGCAGGACGTGACTGTCCATAAAAATATTCTTCAGCAACTTCAGGATAGACTGGTCAACGCGCCGGACGACGACGCCAGTGAAATGTTGGCCAACGTGATCGAGGCTTACGAGAAACTGTCCAACGAAGTGGAAGGTAGAATTAACATCGCGGAGAAACATGTCTCTAATCATGAAGCATACCTTCAGACATTCGAGAAAACGCGAGACTGGATCAACACGGTGATCAATGAAGGGACACCGATAATCGAGGACTTCTCGGTCGAACGAGACACAGCACAGAATAAAATAACTGCCATAGATAATTTGCTTCAACAACGAACTGAAGGCGAGCGAATTCTGACTGATTGTAACCAGCAATTGAACATCGTTCTCGAGCAAACGTCTCTTCCGGGTCACTCGGCATTGATAACAAACTTTGAACAACAGAAGAAAGTATGGGAGGACTTCCTGAAGAGATGCGAGACAGCTAGAGACAAACTGAAACATCTATTCGATCAGTGGTCTGAATTCGAGAAGATCGTAGAATGTTTGGAGGCTTGGATCAAACAAATGGAGACGCAGTTGAAGGATCAGAGCCTGAAGAGCACGGAGGAGACCAAGAGGACTCATCTGCAGAAGTTAAAATCCCTGGAAGAAACTATTATCGCGAAAGGTGGTGAGTTCAATGCCGCCGTTGAGAAGAGTCAAAGTATCGAAGCTGAAGCCGATTTAGCTACTAGAGTCTCGAGGCAGATTACCAAGTACCAAGCTATTAAGAATCAAGTGAAGGAAGCTGTGATGCGGTATGAACAGTTTGTGAAGGAGCACAATACTTTCAACGTAAAATACAACCAGTTGCTGCAATGGATTACCGACATTCAGTCGGAATTGAAGAAACACAGTGAGATCGTGGGCGATTTGTCTGTGTTGCAAAGCAGGCAGAAATTGATCCGTGATCTCAGCGACACAAGAACGAAGGAGAATGCTAGATTTGAGTCTGTCATTGATCTCGGTGAGAAACTGTACGTGCACACGTCTCCCGATGGCAGAGAAATCATCAGACAACAATTACGGAATCTGAGAACCTTGTGGGACGGATTTTCCGAGGATCTTCAGAGCACCACGCAGAAATTGGACCAATGCCTGATGCAATTCGCCGAGTTCTCTTTGTCTCACGAGCAGCTGACCGCTTGGCTACGAGACGTGGAACGCGCGATGCATCAGCACACAGAGCTGAAGTGCACGTTAGAAGAGAAACGAGCACAGCTACAAAATCATAAGATAATGCACCAGGAAATCATGTCCCATCAGACCCTGGTGGAATCTGTCTGCGACAAAGCTCAGCAACTAGTGGACCAAACGAAGGACACTTCCCTGAACGTTTTCTTGCCTTCTATCAAACAACTGTTCCACAACATTGTGTCGAAGTCAAAAGATCTGTTGGAAAACTTGGAAGATTGCGTAGAGAAACATAATAGATTCAATTTGCAAGTGAAGAACTTCTCCGATTGGTTGAACAGCGAACGGGACAAGCTCGCTGAGTGTAATGACGTCACTGGAGAACGGACAGATATCTCCAGACGACTTGCTACGCTGACGATGTTGAAAGATGATCAAATGCAAGGCGCGGAACAGCTTGGGAAATTAAAGGAGCTTAGCGATACAGTTATTAAAAGGACGGCGCCAAAAGGATGGGATGCTATCAATAAGGAGATCACTATACTTGAGAGCAACCTTCGTCAATACTTAAGTGAAATAGGTACTTACGAACTTCTAAATTAAATGCACATTTTTTTATTCGATATATGTATATTGTGTTTTTACTCGAAAAATTGTTTATTATATAGAATCAGTAGAAGACAAGCAGAAAGCAGCCATGCAGAAGTGGCAAGATTTCGAAAACAAATTGGAAGCGTATACAAAGTGGTTCAGCACGATGGAGGCTTCCTTTAGGGACCAGCAATTACAGCCTACCTTACAAGACAAAGAAGCTAGGCTTCAAGCTCTGAAAGGAAAACGAGATGTCATATTGAAGGAAGAATCAAAGATAGACGAGTTCGTTGACAAATCTCACAGTTTGCTTCACGCGAGCGGCCTCGAACGTATCAAGCCCATGATTTCACAAATCAGCAACAGGTAAGTCTTTAAAATCAAAAGTACAGAACTTAAATCTACCTTTTTAAGCCCTTCGTCTTCTTCCAATTTTATTGTTGATTGATTATTATTATTGAAAGACCTGTGACCTTTCCTTAGCTATTCCTAGATAGAGAATCACAAGTTTCGCTCGCACGCCACCATATTTTATATTATATTTTCGAATTTTTTTTTAACACTAATTCAATTAAGTTTAAAATTCACAAAATTTTTGTACAAAAATTTCAGATACCAACTATTGCACGTGCTAAGTAAAGAAGTAGTAACCAGATGCCAGAGCATAGTAGATGACCACAGAGCCTACGAAGAGAAATTAAAAGTTGTCGACGCCTGGCTAACGCAGCTGGAGCAAAGTTTATCCAGTCTGGACGAGACCGGCGGAAACCTTGAAGAGAAGCTTTCGCGCTTGCAGATACTGTTGGCTGAGAAAGAACAGGGAGAACATCGTTTAGCAAGTTTAACATCATTCGGGGAAAGGATCCTCGCTGATACGTCTGCACAAGGGAGGGAGCTTATTCGTCATGAGCTGAGACAGGCTCGAGAACGATGGGACAAACTTGTGGAAGGAATTGCCGACCAGCAGAAGAAACAGGATGCCCAATCCTTGCAGTGGTCCAATTATCAAGAGACGTTACAACAAATTTTAGCTTGGCTGGATGCCATGGAAAGATCTGTGAAACAAGATTCTTCGATCACGTGGTCCTCGCTTCAGGAAATAAAATCTAAGTTGCTTAAAAGCAAGGTAATTGATGCATACGAAATTATATCTTCAGAAATAGCAAATGTAGATTTTGTACGACAGGGGTGACAAACTTGCAATTGCCCAGCCACTTGCCCTTTTTTCGCTATCTGCAAATATCGTGTATAATTATCTTAAAAAAAAAAAAGACGCGCAGCAAGTTTAAAAATGCTTTTAAACCAAATTTTTGAAGACTCCAAAGCTATAATTATTCACTATCATTATTTTTCATAAATAATTTTAATTCTAGGCAATGCATCAGGAAATCCTAGCTTACAAGAGGATAATCGAAGGAGTGTCCGAGAAGGCCAACGCGTTGACCTATTCTACTGTGGCACCCACGGATGCTCAACAGAAGGTTGCCTCGGTTTCCAACAGATACGAGGACCTCGTCGAGATGTCGCAGAAGAATATCGCCAATCTGGAAACTCTTTTGGACACGTTCCAACAGTTCTACGATCTCCAAAAATCCTATCAGGATTACCAAAAGCAACAGTGGGAACAATTAGCCAATTACAGTGATTACACGGGCAACAAAGCTGCTCTTCAAACTCAGTTGACTAAAATCATGGAACTTCAAGATAGCCAAAGAGAAGGCGAGTTGAAATTAGATATTCTGAGCGAGCACGTGGCACAAAGCGCACATTATCTGTCACCAAGGTCTTTGGAATCTATGGAGAGAGACCTGGCCACTTTAAGGTAAGATTTATATTAATTAAGAGAATATTCATTTAAGCATTGTGATACGCAGCGTCTGATATTTCGTTTATTTTTCTACACATCACATTTATTTATATTTTCTCCACATTCAAATGTGTGTTCTGTAAATGAATAAAATCCTCAGTCCGTTAATTATTATTATAGTAAAAGTTACATAGTCCAAATGTTTAGAGCTTATTTGATGAAACAGATTTGAACATAAAAAATTCGTGACCGCCGTGAGTGACATTATCCGGTGCATCGAGGAAAGAATTCAACAATGGAGCGAGTACGAGAATTCGTTGGAGCGTTTGTTAGCCTGGCTGGTCGAAGCCGAGACGTCCTTGAAGAATTATTCATTGAAAAACACGCTCGACGAGAAGCAGGAACAGCTCGAAAAATACCAGGTAATTTTCTTTTTTAGGTAAATTAAATTAGCGCTCCATAAGTCACAAGCATAAATACACTTATAAAATTACTCTCAACTAATTTGCGTATACAAATTCACATACACATGAACAGAGTTTTTAAATCATTGATTTTTCCATGTAATTTTTGTGCCGTAACACTGTAAGTATAATTTCACGGTAGTATCTGAAAAACACGAGCGCGATTTTTTTATTAATCGAGGAGAGGAAAAGATACGAGAGAGATGATGTCGTGTGTACGAGTTCAGGAGATTGTATTTTGGAAAACTTTCTTAGGCACTACAAAAAACCGCCTTGTCGTGGGACACGGAAGTGACGGAACTGGTGGCCCTCGGAGACCACCTGGACCAAGTAAGAGAAGCACCAGGACTGTTTTTTTTTGTATTCTCTTCTCGATTCAGGGTTGTGGCTTTTTGTAAACTGATCTCTCATTACAGTCTTTTTCTATTCTATTTCTTTCATCCATCTTTCTCTGTATACTCTATTCTTCTTTTCTCGTTACTATTTCCTTCTTCTTTTTTCCTCGACGATTTAGTGTGATTTTCAAATCGAAATCATATTCATTAATGATTTTCTAAACATGGATAGTTACAATTACTCGACACGCCATACACTTACATTGTCGTACTCCCTTTTTTTATGCGTTTTACCAGTGTTTCAACCTGAACGGATTACATTTGTTTTTCTTTTTACCTCAATGCATGCAAACGCGTTGTTTCGGCTACGCTTGATCGAACGTATCCAAGCCGATATCGCGTTGTCATGGCACGCGAATAAAAATTCAAGATCGATTAATTGGATCCGCATTAACCATCCGCACAAACACACACAAACATGCAAACTTACGTATACTACGTTAAGTTCATTAATTCAAGGTACTTTCAGAGGGACGGAAAACTACCTGACAAAAGTTTCCTACGATAGAACGAATAAGATCTAAACAGTCTTAACACAAACGTATTTCCATTTCGTAGATGCTGATTGTGAATCTTCGACAAAACGAGGCAGAGTTTGATAAAATGAGCGACGAATCTTCCGAGTTGATGCAGATCAGCGGAGAAACCAGATTCTCGGCGAGCGTCCAACAAATCACTTCCCGTTTCCAGTCTATTCAAGCAACTGCAAGGGTACGCATGTTGCAACTTCAAATTTTTCAGAACAAAATGAACGTTTCTGTTCAACTAAGACTCTTTCCTAGTCAAAAAAAAAATGAAAGTTTCTTATTTATACAAAATTACTTGGTACATTGCATTTTATAATAATTTCCTCGAAATAAAGGAATGTAATAAAATTGCTTCATTAATTACGCTAATTTAAAGTAGCCTATTTATCCTTAATTTATAGGAATTGGTCAAGAAATGTGAACAAGCAGTAGCAGATCACGCGGCCTATCTCGAGCGCTACAAACAGTGTTCAGAATGGCTGGCGAACGCACGGTCTACTTACCAATCCATTAAGGACGACATGTTTTTCTTTTTACCTCAATGCATGCAAACGCGTTGTTTCGGCTACGCTTGATCGAACGTATCCAAGCCGATATCGCGTTGTCATGGCACGCGAATAAAAATTCAAGATCGATTAATTGGATCCGCATTAACCATCCGCACAAACACACACAAACATGCAAACTTACGTATACTACGTTAAGTTCATTAATTCAAGGTACTTTCAGAGGGACGGAAAACTACCTGACAAAAGTTTCCTACGATAGAACGAATAAGATCTAAACAGTCTTAACACAAACGTATTTCCATTTCGTAGATGCTGATTGTGAATCTTCGACAAAACGAGGCAGAGTTTGATAAAATGAGCGACGAATCTTCCGAGTTGATGCAGATCAGCGGAGAAACCAGATTCTCGGCGAGCGTCCAACAAATCACTTCCCGTTTCCAGTCTATTCAAGCAACTGCAAGGGTACGCATGTTGCAACTTCAAATTTTTCAGAACAAAATGAACGTTTCTGTTCAACTAAGACTCTTTCCTAGTCAAAAAAAAAATGAAAGTTTCTTATTTATACAAAATCACTTGGTACATTGCATTTTATAATAATTTCCTCGAAATAAAGGAATGTAATAAAATTGCTTCATTAATTACGCTAATTTAAAGTAGCCTATTTATCCTTAATTTATAGGAATTGGTCAAGAAATGTGAACAAGCAGTAGCAGATCACGCGGCCTATCTCGAGCGCTACAAACAGTGTTCAGAATGGCTGGCGAACGCACGGTCTACTTACCAATCCATTAAGGACGACCTCAGTGGAACCCGTCAAGAGCTAACTTCGAACGTATCAACTTTAAAAGATCTTTTATCCCGTCAATCTTCGGCTACCCTTTTGCTGAATAATACCATCGAGGCCGGGGAGCGTTTGTACTCTACAACAGGCACCGAGGGCAGAGAAATCGTTCGCCAACAGCTGTTGGATCTTCAACAAGCCTTCGAGGAATTGTACGATGGCATCGCGTCGACTGAACGGCAGCTGCAGTCGAAGATCTCGCGATGGTCCGGCTTCGACGAATCGAACGAGGCATTCGAGAAATGGTTGAGAACGATCGAAGCTGAATTGAAACCGGAAATCGAATTAAAAACCACGCTGGACGAGAAACGCGCTCAATTGCAGATTTATCGAGCGTTCCTGCACGACATTCAATCTCATCAACAAGATCTACTTGATCTTCGTGATAAGGTCGACAATTTACCGGATTCTACAGACAAAGTGAATCAGACGTTGACGAAACTGAATGAGAGACACGCGACGGTATTGAAACGAGCGGCTGCCTTCGTCGAGAAGTACGAAGGCATTGTGAGTGATCATCAGCAATACAGCAAGGCTGTTCTAGACACGCACGAGTGGATAGACGCGACGCACAACGCTGTTATTCTTTGGGGTGACACGGAACTCGAAAGAGTGTCCCTTCACACAAATCTGGATCGTCTAAAGAATTTGTTACAGAGCTTGCCCGAAGATAAGCCGAGGGTGCAGCAAATAAGAGTCCTAGGCGAGAAAGTAATACCTGGAACCTTGGAGTCAGGACAGATCAACATTCGTTCACAGATAGATTCCTCTCAACAGGAATGGGAGAGCTTAGTCACCGCTGTGAAATCTACCATAGAGATGTTAGAGAACAAATTGCAGCAGTGGAATGAGTTCGAAACGTCAAAGGAAAGGTGTCTAGCTTGGATGAGGGAAACCGATACCAAGCTCCACGCTGTGGATTTGAAAGCGACCCTGCAAGAGAAGAAGGACCAATTGGAACTTCTACGAACTCTTCAGGGTCAGGTCCGAGCGAAAGAACTTGAGATAGACGCTGTCACTGAGAAGGCCCAACAACTTCATAAGAACATAACATCCCGTACAACGCACATGTCAGAACTAAGCATCAAATACCAGCAGATATCGAACAAAGTTAAAGATCTCAACAGCCGTTGGCATCAGTACGTGACTACTCATCAGGAGTTCGATAATCAAGTGGCCGAGTGCACCAGATGGTTGGATGATATCAGAAAGAAATTGGCCTATTGCTCTGATCTTGGTGCCTCCTCGCAGAAGGACTTGGAGAACAAAATGGAAATAGTGCAAGACTTGTTGTTGTACAAAGAGGATGGATTCGCTAAAGTTCAGGGAATCGTCGAGCTGGCACAAGCAGTACTGGCGAACACGGCACCATCGGGACATAAGGCTATCAATGAAACCGTCGGAAAGCTTCAGGAACAATGGAGCGCGTTGGCTTCGAAAATGCTAGAAGCTAAGACCAATCTGGACGATTCTATCAACAAATGGGCCGGTCTTCTAGAACAGATACAGTCGATGAATAAAACTGTGGATTATATGCAATCGGCGTTGGAAGAATTCTTGCCGTTCCAAACGTCCATGTCTGAGAAGAGGATCCAATTGGAACGTATAAAAGCGCTTGAAGAAAAAGTTCGATGCGAGAACATCGAAGTCGACGGTTTGAAGATCAAAGTTGCCGAAATGATCGCCAGTGGTCCTCAAGGTCAAGCTGCATCTCAGGCGCAGAGCATCCTGAATAGATTCGATACCCTGTTTGAAAAGATTAAATCGTTGTTAGCTGAAAGAGAAGAACAGTACAAGGATCATAGATTGTACAAGGAAGCACACGATGATATAATCAACTGGTTGAGCAGAGCTCGCGAGAAGATCCCATCGATGAAACAAAGGCCATTGAGCGATAAGCTTGCTATCGAGAACGCCGTGGCTCCGCTTGACAGCTTATTAAACAAGAAAGCTCAGGGAGAACTATTGGTGGAGCACCTTCAGCACACTGGAAACGTCGTTTGTGCAAGCACGAGTCCCCAAGGCCAAGAAATCATAAGGAATGAGGTCAAGGCTTTGACTCATAGTTTCGAGGAATTGTTCAGAGGTAAGCAATCGTTCTAAAATTTCACAGCGTTATTTTGATCGAAATAAAAATGTTATTGTTTCTTGTACAGAAATTAAGCAACAGAAGGATCAGTTGGAGAAAACGGTGAGCCAGTGGCGCGATTACAAGGACGAGTACGAACGGCTGAGCGACTGGCTGCAACAATTTGACATTCTCATAAAAGCCCAGAAAAACTCTCTGTTGCCAAACGTTGCTGAGAAAGAGAAACAAGTACTGGAGGTGAAGGAAATTCTCGAGAATCTCCTTAAGGGACAAGAGCAGATAGACAAGTTTAACAAATCCGCGTCTAGTCTCTTTTCTTCTCATCTGGACACTTACATAAACAATCAACTTCGACACTTGAACTCGCGTTACCAGGTTCAAGTGAACCTTGCCAAGGACGTTCTCAACAAAGTCGAGACCAACTTGGCTCAGCACAAAGAGTACGAGGCTAACTTGGCGAAGACCCGTGCCTGGATCGAGAACGCGAAGCAGATTATTCGCAAGGGCACGGAAGCAGCTTCCACTAGCAGTCGAGAGGAATTACAAAACAGGCTGGACAATATTCAAGAATTATTACGAAAGCGAGAGGAAGGTCAGAACCTGGTCCACTTGACCGTGAACTGCGGCGAGAAAGTGATGAGAAATACCAGATCGGACGGCCGCGAGGAGATCAATGCTCAGTTGAAAGAGATCCAGAACGACTGGGAGAGACTGGTGAAGAAGATCTCGACCACGAAGGTTCACTTAGAAACGAGTCTCCTTCAATGGGCGGACTACAGTTCATCGTACTTACAGCTGCAACAGTGGATCAACGACAGGGAAGCGAAGTTGCAGCAGGTTTGCGAGCAGAAGGTATCCAAGGCGAGGAAAGGATTGGCTGGTCTTAGTTCTTTGGCCATCGGGGAAAGGAAGGCGACTTTGAGGCAGACGAACAGCATAGTTCAAGATATCGTCGCGTTCGAACCGATGATTCAGTCGGTTACCACGAAAGCTGAGGACTTACGACAGGCGACGCCAGCCACGGAGATCTCGATCAAATACGAAACCTTGAGCAAACAGGCGCAGGAGTTGTACGCGAAACAAAAGGAAACCGTGGAACAGCATCAAGCGTTCATAGACAGTGGTAACGAGTTCATTCAGTGGATAAGAGCTGCAAAGGAGAGACTCGGGAAATGCTCGGAGCCTACCGGTGACAAGGAGTCGCTGGCGAACAAGATTACGCAACTAAAGGTGCTGCAGAGTGAGCTACCGGAAGGTCAGAAGAAATTACAACACGCGTTGGAGCAAGGAAACGCGGCGTGTCAGATCGCGGATGAAGAGGATAAAGAAATAATTGAGGAGGAAGTAGCGTTACTGCAAGAAGAGTACGACAGCTATGTGTAAGTATATCTTCTCGAAATCATTACATTTTTCAAGCATACAAAAAACTGTTTAACTTGTGAAAAATATATTTTATTAAATGACTCTTCTGTTTCGCTTTAGGGACTCACTGAACAATACGAAGACCTTGCTGGAAGTAGGCATCGTGAAATGGACAGAGTACGAAGACCAATTCTCTGAAGCTACCGAATGGCTCACGCAGACTGAACAGCTCGTGCAGTCGTTCAATAAACTGCAGGACAGTTTGGAAGAGAAGAAGAATGTCCTGGAACAATTTCAAATTCACCTTCAGACGTTGTTCGACTGGCAGAAGGAGCTTGATCGACTGAACATGAAAGCGCAGATGTTGCTAGAAACCTGCGCGGATACCAGGATTTCGAACGCTGTTACCCAATTAACGACCAAGTACAACGCGCTCCTGTCAATGGCTAAAGAAATAATGAGACGCCTAGAATTACATTATCAGGTACGATTTTCAACGTCTATTTGACTGTAAAAATCATGATATTTCACATATTGTCATTTTATTATGTTAAAATGATATATGTCAAGTTTGTCATCTGTATCAATATCTACTTTATAATGTAACTCGTGTGATTCAATTTTTAGGAGCACCAACAGCATAATACGCTGTATCAAGAATGCCAGGACTGGATAGACCGAACACGCGATAAATTAGGCGAATGCAAAGAAGTTCCGAGCACTTTAACCGAAGTAAATAACAAACTTCAGACCTGCAAGGCTATTAGGCAGACTCTGGAACAAGGTCAGAACAAGCTGCGCTACGCTCTCGAATTAAAGGAAAAGGTAATCATGAACACGGAGCAGAACGGTGCGGCGAAGATCCAAGAAGACACGGAGAACTTGAAAACGGAGTTCGAAAAATTGCTGGTCAACGTGGAAGATATAAGACAGAAACTTTCTGCAAGGGCGAGTGCCCTCGAAGAGTTGAATAAGATTCATAGACTCACCACCGATTGGATCGAGGAGATCGAGAGCAAGATTCAACCGGGTGAAATGTATAAAAATGATCTAAGCGAGAAACGAGCGGTATTAGAGAAGTATAAGACGGTTCAGAGGGACATCCAAGGACACGGGGAAACCGTGGACCGCTTAAAAGCTCGTTTGGCTGAAGATTCTAGTATACCGGTTGGTCCTTATCAATCCACTATCGCAAAGTACGATGAGTTGACCAAGTTGATCGCCGAAAAAATTAAGGTATGCATTTTTCAAATTATCAGTCTGATACATATAAAATATCATTTTCTTCAATACGTAACGTGTCAGATGTAGAATATTTTAACACGATCCCACGTCCTCTTTTATACAATCTCATGTCCTCACTTATTATTATAGAACCTAGAAGAACAGGTGAACGACCACGAGAAGTTCCAAAAGGCGCACAACGAGGCAGCCGATTGGGTACGTCATACGAAACTGGAACTCCAACAAAACTGCGACACCCACGGCGAGAAGGAGCGAATCATCGAACGCGAGAACAAAGTGAACCAAATCATCGCCTCTTTGCCAAAAGGGGAGACTTTGATCTCGCGAGTGATCCAGCTCAGCGACGGAGTAATCGCGTGCACTGGTCCGGAAGGTCAGGAAGCCATAAGACAGGACGTGAAACAACTGCAAGCAAATTGGAAGTCGTTGCAAACGCAGTGTCACGAATCTCAGAAGACTTTGTCCAATTGTATCTCCAGCTGGTCTCAATTCACAGCAGCTTTGGACAGCATGAAAAGATGGATAGATCATTTCCAAAAGAAGGTGAATGACGAACAATCAAAGGAGAACAAGACGCCGGAGGATCTAGTGCGTTGCAAGAGTTTAGTTGAAGAGGCCATTCAACAAAAACCTGTTCTCGAAGATTTGAACGACAAATGCGAAGCCTTGCTGGAAATGAGTGCATGCAGTTGGGCTCGCGATAAGACTGTGCAACTGCAATCAGCGTACACGTCTCTGTTGACGGACATGCAAGGTCTGGTTTCCAAAGTGGAGAAGAACCTGTCCGATCATACAGAATTCTTGAAGGCGAAAAAGGAAATGGAAGATTGGTTGCGTATTGCTCGAGGCTCGGTACAAGATTGCATGGGTGTCGGTGACGCCGAGTGGGCCAAGGATAAATTGGAAACCATCAAAGTATGTTTTATTCAAATTAAGAAATCTTTATTTCCAATCCTTATTTAATAATAATTAATATTTTATTACAGATCGTCGCAACGAGAATCACCGAGGGCCAACATTTATTATCAACATTGCAAAACGCTTTTACGAAAGCGATAGACACCGCAGTGCCGGAGCAGCAAGAACAGTTGAGGTCAGACATGGCCGGACTTCTTTCCAGCTGGGAACAATTGAGCATAGATTTGAACACGGTCCAAGCCCAGCTGAAATCATTGTTGACTCGCTGGGACGATCACACTGAAGCTCACGGAAAGATGAAGCTTTGGCTAGAGGAAGCCGAGAAGACTATAGAAGAAATCCCAGACACGAAAGGAGAATTCGGCGATATGAAAACCATGCTGGAACGTTACAAACATATTCAAGAGGAAGTTCGCGGGAAGAAAACTGAATTGGACCATTTGATGGCAGAGTCTAGCGAATTGGCCAAGCTGGCGAAGAAGAATACGCCGCTGGAACGAACGCGGGAGTTATTGAAACGCTGGCAGAATTTAAGCGAGAATGTAAACGAGAGGAAGAAACTGATAGAAAACGAGATGCAGGAGTACAATGCTTATCACGCAGCGTTGCAGGAAACCGAGAAGTGGTTGCTGCAGATCTCGTTTCAACTGATGGCCCACAATTCGCTGTACATCACGAACAAAGAACAAACAGTGTCTCAGATTACCCAACACGAGAGTCTACTGACTGACATTGAAAATTACACCAGCGTACTGGATGATCTGAAATTAAAGGGCAATGGACAAATCGGCCGCTACATGACCATTAATCCTGAGATTAAGAATGTGATTGAGACTCAACTACAAAATGTACAAGAGAGTTACAATTCTTTATTGAACACCGCGTTGCAAATTAAAAAACGTTTGGCGGAGTCTTTAGTGAAATTCCAAGAATACGAGAACACTCTAGAAAGCATCATGAAAAACCTGGACGCGTACGAACCGGAAATAGCCCAGGAAATTGAAGCACCGATAGACACCCTCGAAGCTGCGAAGCAGAGGTTCGAAAATGCGCGCACGTTGCATAACAAGCTTCAAGGCGAGAAGACCAGACTCGCTTTGGCCGTGGAAGCGTGTGAAGCAGCTGTTGCTTGCGTTTCGCGGCCTGGGAGTCCCTTGGACGCTCCACCTGTGCAGATCCCAGCGAGGGAAGTTGAAGTGCGAAACAAACTTGAAGAGTTGATTGATCAGGTACTGTGCTATAGATATTAATTAACTAATACAAAATATTATTACAATTTAATATATTGACTTTTATACTAACTAAAATATTCGCGTTTAGGTAGACATCTCTTTTATCATTTGAACGCTACATATGCACTCACCTGTTAATGTCTTTTATATTTTTATACATGGCATGCGTTTTTTAACTTGCCCATTTTTGTATAAGTGCGTAATATCAACAGTGTGCGAATAAGAATACCTTTTGTAATAGGCGCAAGGACACCTGATGAACGTGACCAAAGCTCTGAATGAACTGGAAGAGCAAACTCGACAAAAGAATGCTCTTCGCACTTGGATAAATCAGCAGAGAGCCCTGTGCGCCGAATGGAAGTCGCGACCTGCTAAATTGCGATCCGAAGCTGCCCATGCCGAGCTGCAAGCGATGAACGATTTGCTTAGTAACGTCGGAGAACGAAGAACTCACGCGTTGACGGAGTTGTCTCTTCACGAGGATGATCAGGATATCGAGGAGGGATTGAACAAATTAGAAGCGGAGTTGACAGATGCCATCAGTGGGAAACAGGCTGCTCAGGATCTGATTCAGAAGTACAGAAACCAGGTGCAGAGTATGCAATCCTGGTTGGACGCGTTGTCAAAGAAAGTCGACGTTATCGAGAAAGGAAATGGACAAACTATTGGACAGAAGATAGCAAGCGTCAAAGAGATCAGCACGGAGTTTGAATCTCAAGGACCGGCAAAATTGGGCGAGGTAAAGAGTTTGGGTGACCAGGTGATGGACTCTGTGAGCAACTTAGATTCGCAGCAGATAGAAGAGCAGATCAAATCTGTGGAGAGACGGTATTCCGATATAGCAAAGAAGCTGCAAAGGAAAGCGCAAGTGTTGGATATGACTGCTCAGGGTATCGAAGCGGCCAGACAAGAGATTGAAGAAAATCGACAATGGATTCAGCAGAAGAAGGAGCAAGCTCAAATTTCTGAGCCCGTTGGGTACGACAGCAAACAGGCGGAAGAGAGACTTCTGGCTTTGAAGGTATTTTAATACAAAATAATATATTAGATTGATTCGTATGACATGTCGGTATTAATCATTTCTGCTTTTCATAATATTATCAATTCATATTCGTACTGTAATTATTTCATAAGAATCTTCAAACCTTTAGGCAATGCTGAAAGAAGCGGAAGGGAAGCAGATGGTGATCGATACGTTGGAAAAGCGAGTGGGAAACATGCAGAACGAATTGGAGAGCAACGAGCAGCAGCAACTGGAAAATGAGACGAAAGCTTTGCGCGGTGAACAAGCGCAGCTCTGCACCATTTTGACGGAAGGAATTTCCAGTGCCACGGCCGCAACCGAAGCTCGTCGCAGATTCGAAGCGGATTTGGAAAAAGCTCGTGCTTGGATCAAATCCAAGAGTAACAATCTAAAGAAACTGAGCGGCTATCTGCCGCTGAAAGCGTCGAAAGTCGAACAGGATATCGTGCAGCACGGTGAACTGAAAGCGGACATCGATTCCTTCAGCGAGAAGGATCTAAACGACATATTGAAGCAAGGACACAATTTGTTGAAGGAGTGTAACGAAGAAGATCGGGCAAGATTGGCGAAAATTTTAGACGAAATGAACAAAGATTACGAGGAATTGAAAAGCGAGGCAAAGGAGAAACAGGCGGCGTTGGCGGATCTTCTCCAGGGAAGAAAGGCTTTCGAAAGCGAAATGGATAAGTGTCAGAGATGGATCAACGAAGCTGAGGTGGCTACGTCCTCGGATGTAAGAACTTCCAGCATCGATATTCTACGGGAACAACTTTCAAAGGTATGTTTATTATAAACTTTTCAAACGAATAAAAAAAATTTAATTGATTAAGCACAAGGCTTTCTGGTTAAAAACCGTTATCTTTTATGCATCGAATACTTGGAAAATTTCTATAATTCTAGTTTTCTGCAAAATTATTTTTCCTTTTTTTAAAAACTTTTATTCATTTCTCAAGTACGCTCGTCTAAAGAAAGAAGCGAAGGATTACGCAGACGACATCGAAAAACTATTGCAACAAGGAAAGTCGATTCTTCCAACCGTGAGCGACGCTGACAAGATGGAACTAAATGAACAACTGCAAAATATGAAAGAAGCTCACGGAAGAGTGGCCGGCATCATAAACGAAAGAGCGCTGGCGCTCCAAAAGAGCATCGACGAAGCTGAAGAATCTTTGGCACGAGTAGCCGAAGCCGTTCAATATATGACAGACGTACAAAAGGAACTTCATGAACTGAATAAACCGATTGGTTCCCGCGTTGAAGACGTAGAAGCAATGCTAGACGCTTATGAAAAGATCTTGAACGATCTGAAGGAGAACAAAGGGAAACTGTCCGATCTACAGTCTGTGAACGTCGCTGATCTTCACGGGGTATTGACTCAGCAAGATGATCTTATAAAAGCCATAGAGTCCCAAATTTCGAAACTTCGACAGCTGCTCCTGTTGCGACAGCAATTCATTGCTCTGATCACTGAAATTACCACTTTCATTGCCAAGTATACGGAGATCATCCGTGACATTGAAAATTCTGGGCAAACTATAGAAGAAAAAATCAAAAGGTATTTGTCAATTAAATTAATTTATACTGATGTTATAAATTTAAAAATTAGGAAGCTGTGTTACACTTTTAAGTAGAAACAGCAAATCTATTCTGTTTTATTTCATCGTCTAATATTATAGACCAAATTAAAGATAGAAACACGTTTTAAATCATTTTGTTCATTCAGTGTATACTTAAAATACAATTACTACAAGAGTTAATAAAAACAAAATGCACGAACCAAATTGCACAGGTCTTAAATATTTTTTATTACTTTCAACCAGGTACGACGACGCTATTTTGAAAATCCAAGAATGCGAAGCTCTCTTGGCCAGTGCAACAGATAAAGGACAACAAATTGCTGCGGAGGGTTCAACCGTGGACAAGAACAACATAACAGAGCAACTGCAAGCGCTGAAGCAGCAACTGCAAGCTTTGCGAAGAGCCGTGGAGACCCAAAGGGAGCAACATGAGTTGGCTGCAGCCGAGCACAAGAGGCTCGCTAACGAATTGGCTGAGATCTTTGACTGGCTGGAGGACAAAGAGAAGGAAGTGAAGTCCAGACCGCTTTTAGAGAGAGATCCGGTCAGCGTAGAAGCCGAGCTTAAGAAGCACAACGAGCTTTGCGAGGCTGTCAACGAGCATCTTGACAGAATTAGAAACTTGAAGAACTCAGTCCCTCACGAAGAAGGTATGCCCGGATCGTTGAAGGAAATGCTCAGCGAAGCTATGTCCCTGTTGACGTCCCTGCCCAGAGAAATGGAGGAACGTGGCAATTATTTAGAAAGCAACATGAAATTGAGACAAGAATACGCAGCTCTAACCGAGAAACTTCGGAGTTGGGTTCGCGAGGCGGAAATTCGACTGGAAAGTGACAAAGACGGACTCGACTTTGAAAATATCCTGAGCGATCTCGAGGAGCACAAGGTTTGTATTCAGTTTAGATATATTCCAAAAGCATATTATATCTATTTTTTATAGTAGATACTATCTTTTAACATGAGATTGTACATTTTGTTACAGATTTATTTCAGCAGCGAGCCTACAATTCGTGAATTGGTGTCCCAACAGATTCAACAGGCGGCCGATAAAATATGGCCGTCTTTGAGTACGTCCGAACAAGAGGAACTGAGCGCCGAGCAACAACAGCATACGCAGTTATTGAAGAACACTTTGAATACGGCGAAATCACAGCGCGCCAGACTGGAACAGGGTGCTGAAACTTGGAAGGACTACACGCAAACTTTGGAACGCGTGCGGGCTGTTATTGCGAGGACAAGATTCACTGATGAGCCTGTCACGACTTTAGCTGGATTACAGTTTAATATCCAGAAGATCACGCACGCCCTCAATGATATACAGGTAAGCAAACAATCCTGATTTCCTTTAGTCATGCAACGAGGACATTTGCAATCTCCTCGAGCAGCTATTAACTTGTATCCTTCATTCACTTCGTAATAAGTAGATCATGGATTTTTATGCAATTATAACAAATTCGTAAAAATCCGTTTTATGCAATTATAACAAATTACATAAAAATCCGCTGTCTAACAAGAAGATAAAATTTCGTTAATGAAGAAATGAAATGTATACAAAAATTATTTTGTGTTGTTTTTGTTACAGAATCAACAATTCGAATTGGATTTGCTAGTTGAACGTAGTCGCGAGGTCCTGCGGTTGGCCGATGCCGATAACAAGAAGACGATAGAGACACAAATCTCCGAGATCAATACAGAATGGAAGGAATTGGTCTCCGGGTTGGAAGGTCGCAGGGATGCTTTAGAGGCGCTCTCCAAACATTGGGAAGGTCTCGAGACGCAATGGTCCACGATTGAGACACGAGTAAACGCTACTGAAGAGAAAAGTAAACTTCTGGACACGGTGGTCCGTTCGAAGCAACACTTACACGACACCATCAAATCTTTACATGTGAGTGATGTACTATATCTAATTATAAAAGATGCAGTGGATCAAATAACGATAATATTCATGAATTTATGCACGGAGCCGAAATTTATTCCGAATAACCAAATTTTATTCCTTTATAGTACATTATTTAAAATTGTAATAACTATAAAGCAATAATTCGTAGTGCACATTGCTTACAGATTACTAATTTCGTGTTTGCTATTTATTACGTACAGGAGTTGGTAGCGGAGGCCGAGAAATTGAAACCGATGGCAGAGGAAGTGAGAGACCTATCAGCACCTGTTCTAGCTTACTTGGCAGCATTCACGGAGGCACCAGCGCATGCCCTCGAGGAGAAACTGGACAAACTGCAGAATTCCGTCGAAGCGTGAGTCAAAAATGCATTGTTTTTCTTGTTGCTGTATTTGTGAAAGCGCTGCCGGAAAAATTACAACCGCGTTTCTTTTGAAGTCGAGGGAATTCACTATACGTATTTCCATGTTTTAAGTCATATATTTACAGTATTATTACAAGGCTGTTTCATCTATCCTAGAACATTTTTTTATAAGAAAAATAGCTTAATTGTTAGAATTATACATTCCTATATTCTCGAAAAATGAATGATTCAATTATATTTTAATTCAATTTACTTCATCGTCATTCTTTTTTTTAATTCAATGAGTTAGCAAGTATATTGAAATTTTATCAAGAAGGAAACAATTATAATTTAACGTATCGCCGCATCGTGGGATCATCAACGGCGCGCTTGTGTGCGATTTCAATGCATGTGCACGTGCGTGTTTGCTTATGCAAATTACCGGCCCCTTCGGTTGGGGCGGTAATGTCCGCTTCCTCCACCTTTTCACTTGTTTTGTTTCAGGCTCTCTACTCATCGATTTTGTATAATTTGATCATGAAATATTTACGTTCTTTCTACCGCAATATTCTTTCCAGGACTATTTATTTATTATTTGCAGCCGTTCGTTTCAGTACATTAATCGCTATCTCGCATTTATATATAAAATGTCCGTTCATCTTGCGCACGCCGTTTTCGATTCGTAGTTAAACACTCGAGATGATTTCGAGACGTCTGTTTTCAAATGTCAAAGGTTGTTTTTCGTGGAAGTTAAGTAAGAGATATATGTAAACCGAAGCGTTAAGTTTCTAGACAAGAGTAGATTCCTTATGTATTACGACATATATCGATTTAGCATGCATTACGCATCTTTTCGCGATTCCATCATACCCAAATTGGTTTCATGACGTAATTAAACCTTGTATACACAATCGTGTACCATGTGACTCGATATTTATTCACTGCGTCGAGTTAATTAATATCTAGAAATTAATTATGATATACTGATCAAAGATGCCAATCCTATCGACTCGACAATCTAAGTTATTCATACACTTTTATGCACATACTCATAATATGAAAATAATATTGAAGTTAGAACGTGATTATTGAAATAAGTAGTTGAATTAGTTACTAACTGTCCATTTTCAATTGCAGTCTGTCATTACCAAATCCTCTCATTAAACATTTATCGAATGAGAATCTTATGACATACATGTTTAATTGTAAGGTAAATTGAAGTCTGAAGTAATGAAATACTAGTTCCTTAATGATAACATAAAATTATTGTGCATATGAATGAATATTGTCTTTGATGAAGATTCAGGAATACATCTATTCTTCAAAGCCTCATCTATCACAGGCACAGAATCTATTTCGACCGTCACTGTTTGTAAACAGCCGTTTCAGTGGATTGCACAATTCGCGTGTAATACACACCGCCAAACCGCGTCGAGCCGTGTCGGGTCATTAATCGATCGGGCATTAGGTCATTGCAACAGCGGTGGCTCTCCGCATTCCCATCGATTCGGCGATCATCACGTGAGGAATGATGCGCAGTGGTCTAAACTGATGAAGTTTATGTAAAAATTTTAGAAACTTTGACAGAAACCAGACACCCCGACAGTTCTTGAAGCATTTTAAACAGGGCGTGTTAGAGAATTTGAAGTTTATTTTGAAATTTCAAAATAAAATTTTTCTCTTAATATAAAATATCTATCTTATCTATAAAAGTTCTCTTAATATGATCACTTCTTATAGATCTTGTGATATGTAGAGTTGTGTTACAAAATCGCGAAGCATTTCATGAGGCCATTGGCACAGTAGATACTACATGTACGTATACATATGTATACGAATATAAAATTACGATTGCCATCATCGTATGTATGATCTCTCCATGAAACGTAAATATGTTTGATGTATATCATTACACGAAACCAGAGTCTGTACAGTAGTAGCAACAGTTTTTCAGAAATATCTCATAAACTACAGATCGGCTACCAATTTTCGTAGAGGAAAAATTTGTTTAGAGTCACGTGCCTAACAAAATATAAAGTAATCCTTGAAATCGATGAAGTTGGCCTCTATTTATACATTTACCGTTTAGCCCAATGTGCGACGCCAGTCAAAAGTGAGAGAACACGGGTTCTCACGCTACTGCCACTGGGTGGTCTCGTTTGCGGAAGGGGTTGCAACCCTTCGGAACACGAATATCGCGCCAGGGCCGGTTCCCGATCGAATCCTACACTAAATATAGATCTGTACGAAGAAAAGTAAAGGAAGGCAGACACGTTGGCCCGCTTCTGAATTCCATGCCGTAATAACCGCGGTCCGGGTTTCGTACGCCAGTCACTCTTCGTACGCGGCGCGCCGAGCACTGGAAATAAAGTATGACGGAGACGGAGACTTTGTCATCGTGTGCGCGTGTCCTGTAGCCGGACGCTTATTAAACAATCGCCGGGTGCCGATTACGGCAAGTCGCACGCGAGCAACCGACGGTGATCGTTCAGTAGCCGCGGAAGCTTTTAATTAAATCGAGTGTGACAAGTCTATTTCTATGCGATAACGAGTGCTACAGCTGATTTGATTACAGCAGATTACCTGATTGCAATTTTATGAAAATCTTGAATGCCGTTAAATCTTGTGAGATTGTATAATAAAATCATTAAAAAAATCGCGATTCGCGTGATCCTGATGATAAAATTAAAGGAAACAAATTGATAGTGATTTAAAAAGAAAATCAGTGTCAGTTTAATAGAGTGTTTCGTGCATTTTGTACGAGTTATTTTATTCGTTTTTGATCCTGTTTGATATTATTCGTGACTTAAAGTGCAAATTATTCTGATAAAGGACTCTGCTGTCAGATTGTGCAAGCGCACTAGGGCGGATAGCGCGTTGACACCTTGTCGGCAACGACCGCGGCATGTCGATTGACAGTACGTAACATGATTTTCACGGGCGTTTTTTTCTTTTTAGAAGGTTTATTGGGTTAGCAGGGATTGCGCACATTTATTGGCTTAAATATTATGACCGTGGTGTTGGGCCTTGTAGCCACTCTCTCTCTATCATCAATCGATACTGACACGAACGAACCGTAGTCGCACGTGTCTGTCGGTGAAATGTTGCTAAAGAAGTCTGTGCGTCGTCGCGTCGAAAAATTGTGTGCCAGTGATTGCTGAGTTTTTTGAATTATGATATTTTTATATAGTTCTCGATGCTGTTCGATCAACATACTAAAAATGTTGTTCAATAAGAATAAAAAGGAGACCGTACGTTTTGAATTTTTTGCAAGTATATCGGAATAGCACATCATAGACAATATTTAGTATCATCATCAACAATATTTGGTTATAAAAATATTTTATAGTAATTCTAGCAAGATTAGATTAGATTAAAAGATAGGATATTAAATTAATTGACAGTAAGATTTCATATTGTATAATTTTATTAAGTAGTAGCATCAGCGTTCATTTCGTTGTAATTATTCATTCTTGTTATTTAACATTTCATTCAGTCATTCGCTTTATCTACTTCACGAATTAATGCTAAAAAAAACACATAATTATATTGCTCACCTTCAACAACAACCGTGTATAAAAATGATAATTATTTGATTGATAAGTAATCAGCCTCGTAAGCCTCGGATATAGTTTGCATACGTACGTATGTCGCTACATCTAGAATCTCGTTGACTTAAATGAAGCCAAAGGCCTTGCTATTAGTAACATGCTTATCGTCCATACACAACATTGTATTAATTTATAATCAATCCTCGTCTATTTAATATATACAATAGTAAAAACATATCAAAATGATTATAGACTGCGGATTTGTGTACATTCACAAGGACTATAAATGTGCCGAATTTTAAACAATGCATTCAGTATGCAAAAATACACAAAATATTAGAAGCACAGTGCACGATATGAAATTTAATCAGTCACCAGGAAGACATATCTTATTTTTTAATCCTATGCTCTATGCACGTTTGTTTTCCATAATACAAAAATAGAATTTTTTCTTACAAATCTATTGAATTCGCCAGGTAGATTGAAATTGAAAAATGTCTCAAAAATCCACGTAGAAAAGTGTATACTTTGTATACTTTGAATATAGCGAAAGAGGGTCAAGATCTATATACTAGAACGTTGCAACATCGCGTGCAACCTTTCGATCCACATCGCAATTCTATAGTCGATTCAACGTGCCAAGAGGTTAAGAAAAAAGCGAGGATCTTCAGCTTCGGAGCCAATGAACTCGTCTTCGCTTTCCCAACGACGAAGACGAAGAAACGGCCGGAGTGGGCCATATTATTCTTAGGAACCGAACACCGGACGGGGCGCAGCGTGCGCCGCTTTTCAGCTTGTCGTCGATTTCCGTTACTTGGCGCCCGCTTAGGCCCAAGCCGCATGCGTCGCGGCTGCTCGCCAAGACGAAAATTCAAAGCTAACGCTATTACGATCATCTAATAACGTTTCGAACCGCGAACGCTGCTGTTTAGCTTGACGGTGCCGCGCCATACTGTTGTCCGGTATACTACATTTCACGGCGAATTTTCAGATATCTCGCGCGATCTGAATTATTTAACGGACGGAGAATAAAATCGAACGATCAGCGAATCCGGGTAAATTAGAAGATTCGTCGGGAAATTTGTTCCAATCACGAAGACTTTGCTCGGTTTGGTACGATCTCATTTCTATAAAATAGATCTTATCATATTATAAATCTTTTCTTCACGCGTTTCTTCAACATTCAATTCTAGTTTTGAAAATCATATATGTTAACAATTTTTAGAGAATTTTCTCTCTTCTCATTTTTGTACGATCTTTTGAAGCGTCTTCCGGTGTTAGAACTGTTCTGAGTACAGTGATCATTGTTAGATTGTTAACCGAACTGTAAATCGTTTGTTCAGTGTTCTACGTGGAAAAAGTGGATCGTTTCGGTTTGTGTTACGAAAATATCTCGACGAACGATGTCAACGGGGCACATTGGGCCGCGTCGCATGCCCGCATAAGGATTGCGTCACGTGGCTTCCGCAACTTTTTACCGATCACTTCTCGCGCGAACCATAGTTAAACTTGAAATTTTTTAATCAAATTCATAACACAGTGAAAAGAGAACGTTCAAAATCAAACGTATATTCGAATTCAATTGATTTTTGAAACATTGCATTTACTATAAAACGTTTAAGAAAGTATTAGGTTGGTGCATATGAAATGTAATTAAATAATTGTAGAATATCATATATTTTATAGAGACACGTTATCAATTATTTTTACACCTAAACAATTATCAAATAGCTTTGTACATTAAGGATTGCATTATAAATACAATCGCAGATTTATTATTAGAAACGAGAAAGATTAAAGCCTATAATTGGATAGTTTAGTTAAATATGATCATAGACGTTAAATGATTTCATTTTCAATCGATTCATAATAGCGAACGATAAGATAAAAATATGGAAGTTCAAACTACAGAAACAAAACGATGTTTCATACGCACCAGCCTAGAATCGGTGGAATTTCATAACTGTGACTAATCTTAACGTGTACAGCGCATTTTCGCATTTAATTTCGCATTACTCATAACAACGATACAGAGCGGAACGTGTTTCATAATTTTATTAGATTTCATCTTGAAAATATCGCGATCACTGTACTGGTGATAGTAAATCGTGTTTAACGTTGTACATTATTAGCCACGGTGATGTCATCGCACGAAAAGAAACGCGCCGCGTCTAGGAAACTTGACATTAACATCGGGAACCTTCCCTGTGCACGGAATTCCCGTTTCCGGGTTGAAACTTCTTTCTATTTTTTTAATCAACAGTAAATTAATATTCATGGAATGGACAAGACTACTTTCTGAAATAATCTTTTTAATTGCATTTGGCAAATTTCTCGATTACTTTAGTTTTCTACAATACTGAAAGATTTCTTTTTGCAAACCATTGTTTCACTGAGGTGGTTGGAAACTTCGAAAAGTGCTGTAGTTTTCGACAATATTGAAACAGTCTTTTAAATGTCTTCTTGCAAATCATCTTTTCACTTGAGATGATTCAGAAGCTATAGAGATGATCTAGTTTTCTACAGTTCTGAATTACTGTTTAGATTTTCATTAACAGTCGCAATAGTTGACTGAGTGATTAATCAAAATCCCGAGTTTATTGCTGATGTCACTGTTTGGTCGAGATGAAACACCGCAAAAGCACGATGCACATGGACGAACGAAAAACGAATCCAAACGGGACGATGACTAGTTACGACATTCCTCGTGGCTCGTTACACCTATAGTGATGTTGTCATCTTTGCGATGGCACTTGGCACCACGCGCTCCCGTTGAAAGATTCCTTAATACTCTTAACTCATAATTCACCAGACGCAAACAATAGGTGGTTACCATTAATTTTTTCATGACAAAGTCAAACAGTCCGAACCCTTGCAGAAAATCTGCTTGTATAAACTTAAAGAACAGAGTAAATGTTTCTGCCCAAGTAGAAAATTTTCAATTTTCAAGGAAATGAAAGTTTATTATCTACACAAAAGTGTATAAAAATTTCACTTCAGTTTTCATTCAAGTTCGGGATTCATAGTCTTCATTCAAATACGTCGTAAATATCTTCACTATCCTTGCCAAAAAGTTTTAAATAATGCAGTAATATTAGATACTGAATAAGAATTTTTGAAAAACAAAAATCAGAGAACAATTTATTGTTTTATATATTTTGGTGTATGCGCAATAAGACTTTGGACAGAAAGATGTGATTGCATCTGTATATGCTTCATTTATCTATTCTCTTACATACTACGTGTATTACGTTTGACCAAAACGCTGTAATACAGAAATTTCACGGTCTTTTTGTTCGCTATCTCGCATCGACTCAATATACGTATAACAATTTATACGTGAATTAACGGTAACAAGAGAATAATTCCGATTTCGACAAGCAACCAAGTTCCTCACACAATCGCACCGTGAACGTTCGTCTACTTTTAGCCGACGCGTCCTCCGCTCAGGCTGGAGCTTAGCCAGCCACCGACGAAACAGCGACACGTATTTCCGATTCTAATTTCGTCTCGTCTATGCCTTGGACAATTCCTCGAGGACCGATACGACAATCCTCCGATTTTCTTTTCGTCCCGGTCGCTCCTTCGTCGACCTGTACCCTAGAAGCGCAAACGGCGCCATGGTCACGCGCTGGCACGCATTATCGGGAGACCACGTTGCCATCGCGAATACGCTAAATTCTATTTTTGCGCCTGTGCACCAGCGCACCGGGGCTAAGGGGCAAATCGTTTTCCGTTAGTAAGGTAGCGACGATCACGTTGGCATCTCGTGCCATCGTAAACAAATTTTACGAAAAGCACATCGTTAAGTATTAATCATTTATTAACGTGCGTTGGGAGGAACTAGCGTAAGTTGGTATCCGAAGCTGAGATCCTCGGCTTTATAAAATTCCGCGAGAGACAATACAATTGAGGTACAAACACGTTATTCTGAAATCACGTGTTATCTCCTCTCATGTGACATTATGCGTAAGATAGATATTCATTCAAATCCTATGCATGATGTCATATGCTATTATATGCAACATGATAGTGCAGGTAGCACGATTTCAAGTGATAATAGTGCATTTCTATCCTTTCGATAACTTGAATGCAGAGTCACACACCTTCACTGTTTTCATCGATCATTATTTCTAACTATGCGTTGATCATTGTAACAAGATGACAGTGTACATTATTATTCACTCGAATACTTCATCCAGTTTGCATTATTTTTAATTTCATCGTAGATCATTACTTTCTGAATCTCAATATCTGTTGTCGTGAATCACATTTCAACCACGTCCGATTAGAAACAGGATGTAAAGATTCCTTTGCCTCGGCTTGGAAGAAACGCCAAAGAAAACAAAAATATTATTATCGTACACACGACGCAGAGAATATCGTCCTGGATGAAATTGCAGGCTCATCGACTCCCTGCGGAAGAAATCGACGAAGGCGGACGAGGAGTTGGAGGCGTTCGAAGGCGCCGAGCGTGAGATCGAGCAGCTGAGAAAGCGTCTGAACGAGGCGCGCGAACGCGCCTCGAACCTTTACGTGTTCGGACCGAATCAGGACGACGTCGAGGAGGAGCTTGACGATCTCGTAAACGACGTCGAGCAGCTCCTCGATAACGCGAAGAAGTTCTCAGGAAGCACTAAGGCGCGGTACCAAGCTAGCCAGCAGCTGGTCCCGAGCGATCTTGCCCAACATTTGACTGCACTCGAGCTCTGCGCCGAGGCCACCGCACAGGCGATGGAGGAGAAACAGAGGGAACAGAAACGCGCGAGGACAGTCAGGTCGGACTACTTGACTGACCTTGACGAGGTCCAGGCGTGGATCAGACAGGCGGAGTTGAAGGTGCAGGATCGATCGATAGAACCTGCGCCGCTTAAGGAGCAGCTGAGACAGGTGCAGGACGAACTGGGCACGATCACCGACAAGCTCGAACGATTAACGAGAAACGGCCGTACTATTACGGAGAATACGAGGGACGAGACAGAGAAACAATTGATCGACAGCACCGTTCATAATGTAACCGAACAGTTGAATCAAGTCAGAAATTGGTTGGACGAGCGGAAACAAGTGGTGGCCGATACCATCGATGCTTGGCAGAGGTTCCTGGCATTGTACGAGGCGGTCAAAGCGTGGACCGAGGAGAAGAAACAGTTCCTGATTGAGCCTTTAAAGCTCAGCACTCTTGTGCAGACTAGGCAGAGGCTGCACGAATATTCGGTACGCGAATTGATAATCCGTTGGGTTATGGTTTCTCTGGATTACTGGATAAAATTAAAAGAACGTGGATTTGCAAAATAAACTTAAAGCATTAAATTGAGTCTTTTAAAAAATAAATTTTTCTGTAGGCATTAAACTCTGTGGTATACATTTGAATATTGCTTTTGATCATTACACGTTCTTCTAAATTTCATCCAGAAGAGAAATGAACAAGTACTCAAAAGTACTTTTCCTCGAATAACTTAATTAATCAGTACGTAAATTCTGCATCGTATTGCAGACAGCCGTAAAAAGCTGCAAACAGATCAACAAGAATCTGAGCGACATGGGTAAAGAGCTCGAGAGTATCGGTCAAATTTGCAGCGTGGGTGATTTGCCTGAAAAATTGCTCGAAGCTGAGGAAGCTAAAGTACAGGTCGAAGGTCAACTGTTAGAAAGGGTTAGTTTTCTCGCTTAAAGAGAATGTAGGTAGGCGATGCGTGCGTAAGATGAACACTGTTCGAACATTCGTTTCAGAATGCGTTGCTGCAAGAGACTAGCGAGGAATGGGAGCAGTGCGAGCGTAAATTAAAGGAAGTTAAAACGTGGATCGAGAAAGCGAAACAGAGCCTCGAGTCGCCGCAGAACAAAAAGAAACCGTTGCGCGATCAGCACAGCATTCGGGAGAAAATGCTGAGCGATATCGCGATACAGAAAACGAAAATCACCATATCGATGGAAAAGCTCCAGGTCCACTTCCGGTCCGGAATCGGTGGCGATAGCCGGATCGGCGAGACGGTAGACGAATTGCTTGCCGAGTTGGACACCCTTCACGGAAACGTGAAGGAACAGACCACGTCGCTCGAGGCTTGTTTAGTTCAAATCGATCAATATCAACAGGTTAGAGGATTCTCGCCCAGAGCTGTATTCTTTTCAAACGTGATTGCTGATCCACTTAAATTGAGAATAGGAACGGATTATAAAGAAATTAAAATATTTATGAAGATTTATTAAGTAGTTCCACTCATATTGTACATACATTGAAAGATAGGCAGAATTGTATAAATTATTTCATAAAGTGTAAAATTAATTTATATTAATAACATGAAGGGATCAGTAATCGTGTCCGTGGTTTGAAAGGAATACGGCTGACGTCTGTTTGTCGTTCCAGGAGATACAACAATTGAGGCAACAGATTATGCAGGTGGAGCAGCAATTGAGGACAGTATTGAGCCCCACGTATCTGTCCACCGACAAGGAGAAGGCATTGCAGGAGCAACAGGTAGGTTCGCCTTGATCTTACCCTATCTTTTCTACCACCTGCACAAGTGCGCTAAAAGCAGCAAGTTGATTTTTTGCATTTGCTCGATACCAACTGAAGACCACCACCAGGATATAATCGCGAGATCTCAAGTTCCTGCGGAATCGATAATTATTTTGTTCTTTCTCGAATCGCGTAACGTGGACGAAAGTATAGTAGTCGTAGTCTATCTGACATCTGCTCTCGAGACACCGTGCCTGCTCTCTCTCTCTAATTTCTCAAGTGACTAACAATTAACCGCCGATCGAGCCTTGTTAATCATTAATTAACATCGGAATAAATAGAAATTTTTATTGACCATTATCATTATTTAAGTGGTTAATGAAAGTTTTTATAATAATTTCTTCGAAACTGGAAACATTTTGATGATTTGGATGATCGTTTCTTATTAGGAGACAGAGGTCATTATATTTTCATCATTATGATTTCAATCAAGGTGTTTCCGTTGAAATCCTATCCCTAGCTTACATTTCATTTCTCATACATATCCATTAAAATAATTATTTTCGATTCCTGTTATCAAAGCTTTCAATCTCGTATACACTTAACAATCTAACATTTCCATTTATATAACATTAACGAGATTCTGACAATACTATTTCCTCTCTCTTTATTACTCTGTCACTCTTCTTTCGGTCTACACTTCTCTCTATCATCGTGCCGCTTCGAAATTAAAAAATTCATACATTTTTACATGAAGAGAATTGATCGTTCTTTCGCAAGTGTGAACGAACGATCATATTCGCGAGAGTTATAATCATCATGGTGGTACATCTGTTACGCGGTATTAGTTGGTATCACGGCTCTTGACGAAAGTCTTGTCAGACCTGTTCTCTTCCGAGGAAAGAGACGAAAAATCGGTCGGTACGCTGTTCACGCACGTCTCTGCGTTTATTCGTCTGTTTCTCTAGTTTTAGCCACTACTATCGTTGTTCGTGTTTACACATCACCGACTGTCTTTTAATGACACACCCATTATACGTTGTTCCGTGATGGGGATTACTTGATTTTTTGCTTGTTTTTTCTTTTCTTTAATGTTTTCTATTCTTGTACGTTCATTTATCTCGTCGTCTTGTCTATACTGTGTACCCATGAAGAAACACGGTTCCAATTAATGAAAATTGGAATCATACCGCACTGTGAAATCAAATTTCAGTAGTCGCACAGAATATATGTGTATATTACACAAGGGATTGTTTTGCAATGTTTTCGACCACCACACGTACATATAAACGTCTGTCACACACACCGTAGACTTTTTCGATCGAGTTTTCTGTCGTTGCAAAAGTAGCTCGGCCGAACGATTTCCGAATAAATGAAAAAAAGCGCATAACTCGACAGCGGAAACGGAAGATACGCAAGAAAATCAAGTGACCTCCAATGAAAAATTACGCGCGTCGAGACTTGTGAGAACGCAACGCTCCGAGAGACTACAAGCTCACGATCTCATAATTCTCATTCTACTCTTAATTAACTTCGACTCTGTTTGTTCTTTTATTTGTTTAATCGTGTTTAATCCATCGCATCGGCTATTTGATTTACGATATTTTATTTGCTGCGCCCCTTTCCCGCCTCTCCCTTTAAACGAATCTGTTCCGTTCATCCATCCCACGTTCACGTTTCTGTTTCGTCATCGTTGTTCTTTCTGGTTTCGTTTCTCCATCGGCAATCATCGCAACTTTTTGGTTCACTTTGGATCTCTGTCTCTCTCCTCTCTCGGTCCATCTCGCTCGATCGTTCGGCGTGTTGTTGTCTTCGCCACAGATCTATCGTGAAAAGATCAAGTCGTTGCAGAGCAAAATTCAGGCGCGCACGGAGAGGTCGAAGATGCTCGTTCAACGGGGCAGGCCCGATCCGGAACCCTTGGATCCGTGATCCATTAACTTAGAGGCGTTCGATGAATACGATTCCGTGACAACTACACATATTGGGTTGATGCATATCAAATGTCAAACACAGCAGATATCGTTTCTGTAGAATATCACGTTTTATTCAAATGATTTATCAATTATTTTTACACATTCCTAAATGATTACATAATTTCATTATCCCGGATGTATTTTGTTATAAATTTAATTACATTATCAAAAATAAGCAGCAATAAAACTTATAATATGATGGCTTAATTTCAACCTATTTGATAAAATCAATCTATTGCAATTATCATACTAATTAAAAATGTTACGATATCTAATGAAACTATAATAAGTTTACTATAAGTTTTATTGATATATGCCAAATTAGTTTATTTTTAATTTGATTCAAAATAGTGACCAAAGTATGATAGGTGATTTTCTACTGAATAATTCAAGCTCCAGAAACTGAACGATGTTTCATATGCACCAGCCTAATATTAGTCTCGTTCCTCGCATTCGTTTCTTTTTCTTACCCGGTGCAGTTCCGCGCACTCCGTCTGAACGAAACGATCGTCGACGTTTAAACCGTTCTTTGATTACAAAACTTCAATCCTTTAAACGTCACAGCATCCTACATTTTCGAGTACTGAGTACTTCATTGAACGGGAGATAAGTTCAAAAATGTTGGTTACCGCGATGAGATTTTTATGATTTAAATAGTAATGAGAATTATCGAATACGTTTAAGGGGTCGAAGAATCTCCAAAGCACATAGCGACGACGTTCGTTCTCGTTAACCGACGGAAGCCAATCAATTTTTAATACCTCAGGATCTTTTTCTAGCGAACTTTATATATACATATATTATTACGTATACGTCTATATTATTATTGTACCGAGCAAACTTTTTCCTAAACGTGTTGTTCGTCCAGGCATAGAGAGCAGACTTGCGTTTATCGAATACTATTTTGAAACGATTAAGAAAATAAAGAGTCCACTTTGTTGCAGTAGATCGTTTGTTCCTTTATAATCTAACCGAAGCATTAACTAAAAAGCAAAAGAAATATCCCATCCGACCCCCTAGCCGATTTTAACACATTTTTCCAATCCCACGAATAAAAAAAAAAAAACCAATAAAAAAGAGACTCCCAGAAAATTGACGTATGTGTATTCCATTGTTGTGCGTTGGCTGATCCTCCGTGGCGGATAAAGCAGAGCCTGCAGCAACGGATGGACGATTGGAAGCAGCGCGTTAGGATGCTGACGGATCAGATATACGCCGTGGACCCGAACTATGCACCGAGCAACGAGACGAGGCCGGTGAATCAGATTTCGTACGCGGACATCGCGGCGGGTCGTACGAGTCCCTCCTCACGGGGTTCCAGTCCGTTCAGGAACCCTCGGGATGAGACCGCGGCGGTAACGTCGCTCTCGATTCAGGTCCTCAGGCCCACCGCGCAGTTGCCCAGGACGACGAACGCGCAGAAACCCGTCGTTGAGCCGATCCAGGATAATACGCCGCCGAGCAATCGGTTAAATGAAGAGCAAAAAGAGTCTGAGACCAGGAGACACGTTTCTAAGGTGGACTCTGTTGACCCCAAGTTGAAGAGTCATAGGAGGGCTGGTAGAAAAGCCGAGGAAACTGTTGGTGTAGAGGAAAGAAAAGTTGTATCTGTTAGAAAAGATGAGGAGCCTGTCAAAGAACTTATCGAGACTGAGAGTGTACATGTGTCCAGAGCGGTAGAGCAGAAAAGGGAACTGATGGTACTTAAGAACACGCTAGCGCCGAAAGAGGAGAGGAGGGGCAGATCAGCTAGTCCCATTTGGATGCCTGGATCCATTTCGTACGCGGATATTCTTCGTGGAAACCGACAGAACTCTCGCAGTCCCTCGGTCGAGATTAGTAAAGACGTTCGAGCAGTTAGCAGAGATGTTAAGGAAACTGTGATCGAAACACCCACCATGAAAGTAGTTCAGAAAGAGAAAGCGGAATTCAGGATGCCAACAGTTGAAATAGAGGAACAGATACAAGTAACAGAACTCACGGAGCAACCTAGTCAACAAGTAGTAGTAGAAGACTGCCGACAGCAACCTAGTGAAGTTACACCTGAAGCCTTGCCCGAAGTCGCGCCACTGTCAGCGGTAGCCGTTGAAAAACTTCCTGAAAGTCAACCCAGTTGGGCCGACGAGAGCATGGAAGGATACGTGAATTACGAGAACGTAACGGGGCAGGCGCAACAAGTTCCTGAAGTGTACAATTATATCCAGCCGGCAATTCCCGAGCTGGTTGGATTCATCGGATCTCAAATCGCTTATCCAGTGAGTTCCTACGTCTACATGCCTCCTCAGCAAATGGCTCTTCCACATTACGCCGATAGCCAAATGGCTTTCCCGTTGGAACAATACGTGACACAACCCAGTTATATATCGGAGTCAGAAATTTATCAGCAGAATCAGTTACAAAAACATCATAGACAACCGCACCAATCCAAGTTTAAGAATACGTCAAAGAATACAGTTGTTTCGCAAGTAGTCGAAGAAACGCCTATGCAAACTCCGGCAAATGTTCAATTGCCAATTGCTCAACCCGTGGAATCAGAATCTGAGAAACCAGTGGAACAAGAACAACCCGAGCAACAACCTGTTTTAATTTCCGAGAGTAAATCGATAAATACTACCTCTACTGAAAACAAAACATTTTCCTACGCTCAAATTTTATCTCAGGGACTGAATTCTAAACCCGTACCGTCTACTAGTAGATTCTCTTCGACCACGACTAGTTTGCCTATTAGACAGTCGAAGGAACGGTCGCGGTCACCGGTGAATTCAACGACTTCCTCGGTGCACGAAATGAGTCCTTCTCAGGAGAGACTGATGAGAGAGTCGTCGATAAGTAAACAAGAACCGAAACAGGAAAGCACGTGGGACATTTCGAAGCGGAGAGAAACGAGGAAAACGCATCAGGAGGCACCAATGACGAAGATTCCAGAAAAGAAAGCACGTAGGTCCGAACAATCGAAGGAAAAGCCTCAGAAAGAGAAAGTTAAGACTAACATCGAGCAAAAGAAGGTGCTTGAAATGAAAGATGAAGTTCGTGCAGTTTCAG